TGTTTGTTTATGTTGTTCAATGGATATTAATTTAAGTTTTTAGGGTCGACATATAAGTAAAACCTAAGTTGTTTGATCCTACGACGAGCACTTATCAAACTCTTTACACACCATTTTCGCACTTTGGTTTGTGCATGTAAATTTTGATTTCCTTAATGGAGGTGACATGCTTTTATTATAAGGTCATACACTCTATTCCTTCCTATGTGCACAATCCATATTTGATATTTTGTAAAATGGATAGTTTGTTGTTAACTTTGTTCTGCGTGATATTTTAATTGTGTGTTTTGCACTATAATTTCATCATTGAATAATACTTAATTCTCATGGTACCACTTCAATACCCCAAAGTTTTCCTATTATATATATAAAATATAATGAAAATTTTGAAAACTACACGGAACTAAGAAATAAAGCGATCATTTATACAATAAAAAAAAATTCCTCTTATCATGTGAAAAAAAATCATGTACTTATATTTAGTACCATGATTTTTACCGAGTAGGTGCATCTTTAAGATGAATCAAAAGCCACAAAGTCGCCAGATGCATTTTAAGCTTAATTTTACTATTTTTAGAGATTTTTTAAAGTTTTTTGGTTCATTAGGTCTGCCCTTGTTTAATACATGACTTGCATGTGAAAATTGAGGGCAAATATGTGAAGGGTTTTGGAGAAAGATAAGCATGTTTTTTCAATAGTAACGTTGTAACATATATACACGTATACGCATAAAAAAAAAATCAAAATTTTAAATCGAGAACCCAATGTTATATATTTTTCATTAATTTTTGTTATGGTTGTTGCATGTTGACAAATTACCATTCGGTTTTCATAATTTCCTACCCAAAAAGGGAGAAACTTATTTAAATCATTTTCTTATTTCTTTTTCTATTTTATCATTTTAAAATTAATATTAAAACCAGATAGATTTGACAAGTGGAGTTGCTTACAAAATTATTTATTTAGATGATCTTCAAGAGATATCTTTTAAATTAAAAATATCTAAAATAAAATTTGATTTTTTTTTACAGGAGTTATGTTATATTTAATTTTAACAAATTCTTTATTTTAAAAATTATAATATTAATTATAGTATTAAAATATTTCATTCATCTAATAAAATACTATTTTTATATTTAAATATTTAATTTTAATTTTTTTATTAATGAAAATATATTTAAAAAATATTTATTTCTCGTAATCATTTTCTGGGGTGTTCTATAAATTTGAAGATTTTCACACCATCTCTCTTACTTTATCTATTTTTAAAAAAGTTTCTAGAGTGTAATTAAAATAGAAAACTATTTAAAATCTTTGTTTTCTTAGTTTTGAATAATCTCTTAAAAATGCTTTGAAAATTATTCTGATTTCTAATCCATATTAAATTGTGTTAGTTGAGATCGGTGATAAGTTAAAAAAAATTTAAAATAAATGAAGAAGCACTTAAATTTTCCAAAATCAAAATCTAAAAAAAATGGTAAAATGCACAAAATAGCAATCTACTTTCATAAATTTTTTTATTATAGCATTATACTTTCAGTTTTTCTTATTACAACAATGTACTTTCAAACTATTTTTTATTAGGATATTGTACTTTGAAAAATTTACCCATTATAGCATTGGGTAATCTTTTGATTTAAATTTACCCATTATACTATGTTTCTATGTCACCTCATTGTCCACATAGGTTGTCCACATGCACTATAATGATGTGACTTTCTTACTACATCATTGTACTTTTAAAATTATTTTATTATAGAGTTCTTATTAAACACTGTATTTTTAATTTTAACATATTTTACATGTTATTTAATAAATATTTTAAATGAATTAAAAAAATTCTAAATTATTCATTAATATACCAATATCAATAAAACTAGTTGAACACAACTTATCTCGCTAATATTTTTTTAAAAATATGTGTTTTTTGAAAATAAGAAAATAAGAATTGTTCATTTTTTATAAAAAAAATATTATCTTTTAAAGAATATATTATATTTGTTCAAAAACTTTTTACTTGACGTATAAATATATTAAATTAATTAGATTTTTTGAATTATTTATTAATATAACAATATTAAAAAAATTGTAGATAAAAATTTATTTCGTTAATATTTTAAAGAGAATTTTAAAAGATGTGTATTTATTTGAATAACATAAAATAGGAAAAGTTGCTTTTTTTACAAACAAAATATATCTTGAAAATAATTTTTTATATTTATTTAATAAATATTTTACTCTAAGAATATTTAATTTGAATGCAACTTAATAAGAAAAAGTAAAAAAAAATTAAATATTTTTTTAGATCATAGCAATGGAAAATGAAAATCATTAATAATAATTTGAAATAAGTTTTTATTTTAATTTTAGTTAGGTCATCAAAATGACGTGTCATCCACATCACCTCATTAAAGCCACACAAGTAAAAAAGTCAAAAGGTTAACCAGTTTAAAAGGTAACAGGTTACTCATTGCTATTATGTGTAGATTTTTTAAAGTACAATGCCTTAGTAAAAAATAATTTGAAAGTACATTGTTGTAATAAAGAAAAACAAAAGTAGAATGCTATAATATTTTTTTTTTATAAAAGTAGGTTGCTATTTCATGCATTTAACCCTAAAAAAATCATATTAAATTAAATAATCAAGAGATTGTTTATTTTTGGGTATCACAAGATTAGTCATATTATTTATTTATTTTAAATATTTAATTTCAAAAATTCTTACTAAAAAGAATGATTTTTTTCTTCTAAACAATCATTTTTAAGAAAAGTTGAATTTTACTATCTATTGATACTTTGAACATTTTTAAGAAAAACGAATGGAAAGTTTACTAAATCAAAAAATTAACTCAAAATTTTCTAATTTTTTCTATCATTATTTTTTGGGTTTTGTCCCTACAATTCATAAAATACAACAGTGGTCTTAATTTTCGTACTTAGAAACCCAAAATATAAAAGTTATTTGACAGTTGCTGAATGATTTTGTACAAAATGATTAAGTTTTGAGTATGATTAAGAGCTTCTTATAATATTGTGCAAAATAAAATATAGTTATTTGGTTATGTTCAAAATGAAATTAGTATGCTAAATAGGGCGAGGGAGACCCAATATACAAAATAATTTAGAGGATTTTAAATTCATTAAAAGTCAAACTTTTTTTTTTTATTGTCAAACAAAATTTATCTTTTAGTGATTCAAATATTGTTTTATAATGGAACTGTTAAGACATAAACGAAGTTTTGTATAAATGTATCGCCACGCTATTAAGTATTTTGATTTAAGTTCTTTTCTTTCTAAGAGGTGGAACAGAATAACCCGGTTGAAGCTAATGATCATCGTATCGTCACATAGTCTTTCGAATTAACGCCATTAAAATGATCCTAATATACTTTACAAATCTTAGGGAAAAGGAACATAAATCAACCATAGATCATAAAATGTAATTCATTCGGTACATGTAATGGCATAAAGTTAAACCAAAAGTTATTTTCATTAATTTTTAAAAAGGAAAACGAATATATATAGGAGTGGGTTTAAATAAAAACCACTCAAATTTGTAAAAACCGTAAAAACCTTATTCAACCAATCATGATTTTTCATTTTGTTCATTTTTTGTATTATGAGAGGTTGATTAACCATTTTTATTGTGGAGGGTGTTAATCATGGATATTATCATCTTCATTATTTTAATTTTAGAGAAATACATGAAACTGTTTCATTAAAATTCCATTAAATAGTATATGAAACAATTTCATAACCACATATGAAACAACTTTATCAAAAAAAAGTATTATATGAAACAATTTCACAAGATTAACAATTTCATGAAAAAATTTCATAAGATTAACGATAGATGAGAGTAGTTTTTACGGTTTTTAC